AGAGAGAGAGAGAGAGAGTGAGAGTGTGTGTGTGTGAGAGTGTGTGTGTGTGTGTGTGTGTGTGTGTAGGCGGCTCCTCTCTCTTAAGCTTATGGGTTAGCACAGAGTATGCAGGTTTGGTGACCCCAGTTTGCTCTCACAAATAAAGAAAATGAAAGACACAAGTGAGGTGAAGGAAGAATAGAAAGAATGAATCCAGACCTCATGAATAAGAAGTTGCGGAGAACACTCACTGACTCTGGGGAGCCTGTCCCTCTTGCTCGTCCCAGATGCACCAGAGAGATGTGGCCTGAGCCCTGGGCTCCCAGTGGCCCAGAGGAAGGGAGATGAACCCGACTGCTGGGAGGGGGAGAGGAGAGCCTCTGTGGGTGCCCGGCCCAAGCCTATGCTATAGGTTGCCAGGAAGCTATGCACTACTGTTCTCCTAATCTTTAAGACAAAACGCTTTGCCAGGGAAAAGGACCACGGGCTTTTTCTGCTAGAATCCAACTCAGTTAGATTCATAACTCAAGATCCAACGATGGGCCTCAGGGGAACTGTTCTCGAGACTGAACATAAAATTTTACACACACGTAAGTATGTATATTTTCCTGGGTTCATTGCTTTCATTTTCAAAGAGGTTCAAGGCACCGTAGATACAGAATGTGATTTTTAAAAAAATCTAATATATTATTCTTTTTTTTATTATGCCTCTACTTAATTATCTAACTACATCCAAGGAATTTAAATTTCAAATATTTCCAAAAAGAAAGCTAAGCAAGGTTCAAAAGTTGGTAGTGAATTTTGAGGATGCGGCATGCCTGCTAATGCAGACTTTCACACTCTCCTTAATGCTCAGCAGGACAACAAAAATGACATGTTAAGATTGATTACAGCCCTGTCTGGTGTGGCTTAGTGGGCTGAGAGTTGGACTGTGAACCAAAGGTTTGCTGGTTCGAGTCCCAGGCAAGGTTACATGCCTGGGTTGTGGACCAGGTAGCCCGCCACTCCCCCCTCCCCTGCCCCCGTCCCTTCCCTTCTCTCTAAAAAAAATAAATAAATAAACTCTTAGTAAAAAATATATTTTTAAGACTGATTACAAATTACCTGAGGTAGACTGATTCACATGGCAGCCGCTGACATCAGTTCAGTCACTGTCAGCAATGGGCGATGCGATGGGAGAACAGGCAGGAGCCCCCGACCCAGAGTATGGAGACCAGGAGTCTAGTCTCCAGCCCTAGCTCTGCCTGCTTTCACTCTGTGATGCTGGACAAGTCCCTTCTCTTTCTGTGCTGGGATCCTCATCTGTAAAAGGCAGGCCACTGACACACAGGCATGGTTTGCAAACTCTCTTAAGGCAATACAATTCAATTTAGATAAAATCATCCAGAACTCATAAGAAGTTAAAACACATTCAAAACGGCAGGCTGAACACATGCATTTATCTCCACTCTTCTAAAAACCCCATAAATTATTCTTAAATCTCTACACTTACTGAGCATTTATTTACCATACAATTGTTTTAACTAATGGAAACCTGAACACTTTAGTCAGGTAGGAAATGATCCCCACTTTACAGATGAAGGAACTAAATCATCAGCATCGGAGGAACTTGCCCAAGTTCTTACAGCTAATGAGTAGCACAGCAGGATTCAAACCCAGTCAGGCTTGAGTCTGTGCTATGCGCACGGCCTCTCAGACTGACAATCGAGGAATAGCAAGGCTCCCAAAGAAAAAGAAGCTGAAAGAGAGAGAGACTAGAAATGTCACCAAATTTTGGAAGATGCAAAGCAGACAAAATGAGGAGCAACTGACCTAGATGGAGAACGCGGAGTGCTGCAGATGGCCAGCCACTGCAGACCCCATCCCAAACTCAACTGCTGAAGATGCACAGGGGTGAGCGCTAAGGAAGGCTGCAAACAGGCAGGACTGGTCCCCATTCCAGGCAAGTACCTGCTCCATCACTGTCCCAGCAGAAAACTGGAGTTTATTCTCTGAACAGGATGAATTAGAGCCTCCGGACTCGGGTGATCAGGACACCACTGAGGACAAGGAGTGGCACCAGTCAGGGGGAATAAATGCAAGCCCACACGCAGAAGCGAGAGCTCCTAGTTCTCTCCCACCATAAGATTCCTAGAATAACAGCCAGGCTGATTCCACCTCGTCAGAAGCCTGAAGAAGCACCATGGATTCTACATACATTTTACTGAAAAGGACAGGCCCATCACCCCTGCTCTCAGAATGCTCTCAGAATGTGGCCTCAGACCAGGAGTACCATCACTGAAGAATCTGTCAGAAATACAAATTCTCAAGCCCACGTCACACCTACTGAATAAGAAATTCAGAAATGAGGCCCAACAACTAGTGAAGATGGCCAACGGGAGATTCTAATGCCTACTAAAGTTTGAGAACCACTTTATGGGGTGGCCCACCTGTCAGCAAACCCATCCCACCCCCAAAAGCTTCCAACTGGCTTACTTGAAAGACAGTCTGGAATCACCAGAAGTTGCAGAAAAGATGCTATCCTGAAAGAGACAGACCAAAACAGATTTCACGGGGCCACTCTAGTGAACAGGGGGGGAGGAAGCAAGGTAGAGCCTGGTCTGCTTGGCTGCCCCGTGGCCCCCACCATCACATTGCCACTGAGCTCTGCCGTCTCAGGAAGAGCTAGAAAACCAGTGAAGCAGATGCTTCCCTACGGTCCAGACCAGCTCTTACCTGTGCCTCTGTACTGGTCTGTATGTCCCAGATCCTTGAAACTAATGCAACAACTTAAACTGACACTCTTGGTGGGAACTACCTCTGATAATTCCCTTATTTGGAAGTAACTGTTGTCTCTCTGAATGAACAAAAAGCATTTGAATGAAAAAATCAATAAAAGCATTTCTACACAAACGGGTTGCTATATTCTGTACTTGCATTAGACACAGAGGCAAAATGCACTGCTTGAACTCTATCATGCTTTTTGCTTCTCTGTATCTTACAGGCTCTCCCTGGCTCATTCTTTCAGGCTAAATTTTAACATCTCCCCCCAAAAATCCCCTATTACCACTTTCACTAGTCTCTAACTCACCCCAAGTGTGACTGCCACAACCAGGTTATTCCTCTGCTTACAAATCCCTCAAAAATCTCGCCATCAAAAATCTTTCATTTCTATTTCCTTCTGCCTCCTTTAGTCCAGCTCATTTTCCCCAAACCCCTTGGTTCCCTCTAAAGATCCTTCCCCTTCTCAGGCCACCTCACCCCTCTAATGGAATATAATCTCCTTCAGGAGGGGTTTATGAAACCAAGGGCCCTTATGACTTTAATTAAATAATTCAATTCTAAATCCTAGCTCTAGGAATCGTTGTCTCTCTCTCTCCCCCCAAAACAAGAAGACAGTAGCCCCGCCTAACCAATCGCCACAGGCCAGACCTCTGGCAGGCTAAAGAAAACACCATGAGCTAAGTCACGGTTTAGTTCCTGAGCCCCAAGGTGGAAGGACCCCCTGGCTACTTCCCCATGAAACCAGACAGAGAGACATGGGAAAAGACCCCGAAGAAAGGTTTCATCACCCTGATGTCACCTCTGGCCAATCAGCTCCCATCACGACACAAACCCCTAACCCACGGTGCCTTGTGAGTTTGCCCTGTATAAACTGTAACCTACATGCCATGAATGAGTCCAGGCTTTTGAGCCTTAGCTTCCCGGTCTCCTGGATGGTGCCATTCATCAATAAAATAGCCAATATGTTTCCACTGTAATTCTCGGTGTTTAGTGTTTGGCTCTCGTAGAGCCAGTGAATGAACTCTCTGTTCTCTAACATTTAGAGTGATGAAAAACTTATGCCAGTAAAGACTAAGCTAAAAAAACACACACACAACAAAAACCCCTAATGCCAGGCATTATCAAAAAATGCCACAAATGTTCTCATTTTCCTCACACCAATACTGAGAATTAGGAATAATCTCTATTTTTGCATTTGGAAAACGGATGCTTAGAGAAATTAACATGCCCAAGGTTACAACTAGGTTTTTAATCCAAATCCTTAAATCTCCAAAGTCACACTTAGCCATTCTACTCTACTGTCTCCCGACGTTTGACTCAAACGCCTGGAAGTTTCCTTACCCTTGGAGAAAATACGAGGAAAAAAAGCTCTGTATAGTATTACTTCGTTTTTAAACGGGGTCCTCCAGGCGCTGAGGGTTTTGCAACCAAAGCCCAGCAGGGAACAGGCTTCCAGCAGCATCTCCCCACCCGGGGGGCTCCACACGACTCAGCAGCTGGCCCAGCAGCCTTTCCAGGAGGAATAAAGGCAAAGCGCAGGAGGAAGGCTGGCCCAGCAGCCTTTCCAGGAGGAATAAAGGCAAAGCGCAGGGGGAAGGCTAGCTCTGGCGCCCAGAATACCGGCATGGAACAAGTGGTTACGACATCCCGCTCCACGCAGCCCATCCGTCCACTTTCGGTGACCTGGGAGGTGGTGCTAGGAGGTATCCCAGGGAGGGGCACAGTAGCTGCCCACACCGAAAGATTTCCGGATCCGATTTTAAAAGCTCTTGGGAGACAAAGTGTTAATTTAACAATCAGGGCAAGCAATGACTGCTAAAGAAAAGCCTGTGTTCCTACAACACAGCTAACTTCGAGAGCACAAAGAATGTCTACAGTGACAAGAGAAGGTGTTTCGGTGGTGCCTATTACAATGTAGAGATAGATGGCTACCACCCCTTCCTCTCCGGCGGGGGCATCAAGTCAATTTTCTCTTGTCTGTGACAGAAAAGGGAGGCGGGCACCCCAATATCTCCCATTCCGAGGGCCTCAGAGGCGCGCCTCTCAGCCTTTCCTTCTAAGGGCTGCGAGGCTGTGTCAGTCCATCAACCCACGCAGTCCCAAGCCTCCTCTCCCTCTCTCCCCTACTGCCTCCCTCAAACCTCCTTTCCCCACCCGTCTGCCTACTAAACCTCGCTTCCCCTATCGGCCCCGCCCCTCTTCCCTCCCCACACGGTCCCTTTTCCCTCAGCTACAAGCCGCTCAGCCAACGGTACCTTGAGCGTCACATCGCACAGCTTGCCCTGCCTCCGGATCTCCTCCATGACGCCGTAGCCGCGACTAGGCAACTCGGACACGGAGAAGTGCACCAAATCTTCCAGCTCCTCCGCGCCGTCCTCCACCATCTTCCCCGGCCGCCGCGACTGCGCAGGCCTGGCCGGTAGGCTTATACTAATCAGGGCGGGGCGCGGACACGCGCCGACGACAGCCCCAGCACAGCCCTGGGATTAGACGGGCCTGCGCGGCCGCCGTAGTTAGAGATTGCTCCGCGCCGGAAGCCCTGCGGCCCCGCTTCCTGGTTCCTGAGCATCCTCGGTGCCCTTATCTAGACCCTCGTCTCGCGTCGGCAGCTGCCGCATTCTTCCTAGAATCAATGGTCCCATCTCCCGTTTTCTCGATTCTGCCCTGACCTGCTTCTGTTGATATATCAACAGAAGACCGCAGACTTTATTTCCGCCACCACTCCGCTACTTCCGGAACCTCCGGAAGCGGCCCGTTGCCATGGCGGCGGTGTACACAGTCGGTCAGTAGCGCTCCACGGGTTTTCGCTCGCAGCAGGTGCAGCGGTGGCGCTGCAGCAAGGCTGCTACCTCCATCACGGTGAGTAGGGGCCACGCGCTGTCCCGGTGGGATAAAGAGGGTTCCGAGGGGGGGTGTACTCCCGGGCAGCGGACAGCGGCTGGGATCTAAACACCGCTCCACCTGAAGTCCACCAGCTCGGCTGCCGGATTTGAAAACCCGGCGGTGCAGGAAGCAGCTCTCGCAGGGGCCCTTTCTGCCTTGCTGAAAGCTTGGGGTCTGCGGACCAAACGTTCCCTGGCCGCACGAGGGTCCTATGCCGTGCCGGAGGTTCAGAGGGAGTGAGGCAGAGGACCAGAGGTTTTCTGGGCTTTCGTGCACTTAACGGTTTTCAAACTGCAGGGACCTTTAGGATCGACAGTCTGAGCCCTTTACTTTACTTCTGAGGGAACTGCTCCAAAGGAGGACAGGAATGGTCCTACCGCCCAGTGCCTCCCAGACTCGACAGAGGGGTCTGGCATGTTGGATGAAAAAAAGGAGAAAGGCCAGTTCTGCCTGGATCCGGGTCTTTAGTTTAGTCCACGGCTGGGTGCGTTTGGCCCCTGCTTTGGAGCTATTCAGAGGCTGCTGCGGTTCTGGTGGTTATGAGAGTTTTCCCATGAGAGACTCTGGTCTGAACAGGAGTGCTGGGAGATGGGGACCCACGAGGTGCCTACTGTCCCAGCAGATGCTCCCTCTCTCTTTTACCAAGTCTTCAGGTGCTTGGTGGCAATTCTGTTCATTTCCACCCCTAGTACAAACGAGAAAAGGGTGAGCCTCCACAGCAGGGAGTTTTTCTGGTGGCCACTCAGAGGTTTACTTATTTACACCAGAAATATCTAAGGGTAATGCCTGTGAGAGTGGCATTCCCCACAAGGTCCCAAGGTCCCTACTTAAAAGGAGGGCATGGTGAGGGGGCTGAACACAGCTTCTTGAAAGTGGTGCTTGGAAACCAAGTGTCCTCCTAGAAGGGTTGTGGGCTTATGGGTTGATGTGGAAGGTGAGTGACATTATATGCCCCTTGGGACTCTCTCAGTAGTGACCGAAGATGGACCCACATATGGAGATTCAGCCACTCTCTGACTTCCAGCCATGACCATCACCACCAACCACCATTTCATGAGCTCCTGCTCTGTGCTGGGCACTGTTCTGGACAGTAAGGGGGGATTCAAAAGAGATAAAAGGCACAGTCCTATCCCTCAGGCAGCTTGTAACTTAATTTGGGAGCTGAAACCCACTCAAATGATGCGGCGTAAGAAAAATAACAAGAATTATTTCAGTAAGTGCAAAATGGCATGGGGTACCCAAATATTTGGGTGTTGAGGGGCTTCTGAGTAGCAGACACACAGGACGGGTGTAGTTAATAAACAAGGCTTGCTCCTGGAATACCGGGAGCCAGGGTGTGAGCATGGGGAGGGCCTTGGGAAGCGTGGATAGGTTGACTGCATGTGCATGTGCATGTTTGCAAGTTGCAGGGCGGTGGAGGGGCAGGCTCTGAGGGGAGGGTGATGCTTGGGGCTGACCTGTGCTGTCCTTGTGCTGTCAGTAGGTGGGGGCTGCCAGGAGGGAGGCCTGGGCACCTGCCCCCCACCATCCAGGGCTCAATTAATTTTTAAAAAGGAAGGAAAGAAAAATCATTAGTTTGGTCTTAGAAGAATGTAAACATAAAACTAGAAATTTTAGAACATATTTTAAAGTCTTGGAATAGCCCTGGCTGGTGTGGCTCAGTGGATTGAGTGCTGGCCTGTGAACCAAAGGGTTGTTGGTTTGGTTCCAGTCAGGGCACATGCCTGGGTTGTAGGCCAGGTCCCCAGTTGGTGGAATAGGAGAGGCAACCACACATTGATGTTTCTCTAGGGAGAGAAAACCCTCTTTCTCTCTCCCTTCCCCTCTGTCTAAAAATAAATAAAATCTTTTTAAAAATCTTGGAATAATTTAAAATTGCATTCTGTTAGTTTTCCCAATAGTTTTGAACAATGACATTATTTTGTATATTTTCCTAGACCTTTATCTTTTCTAGTATGACTTAACTAGATTTTTTTAAAAATATTTTATTTATCTTTAGAGGGGAAGGGAAGGAGAGAGGGAGAGAAACATCAATGTATGGTTGCCCTTCGTGCGTCCCCTGCTGGGAACTGGCCTGCAGGGACCTGGTCTGCAACCCAGGCATGTGACCTGACTGGGAATTGAACCGCGATTGTCTGGTTCGCAGGCCCGCGCTCAATCCACTGAGCTACACCAGCCAGGGCCTTAACTAGATTTAATACAATTGATAATTACAGATCAGTTTTTCAAAAATATAATTTTTATTATATTTTTTCCATTACAATTTAGTCCCCTTCAGACAGGTTTTTACTTAGCTTTCCATAGAGCTCTCAATAGTTAATCCTTTGTCATCCGTGTATAAGAGGCACCTAAAAAGCTGATTGTTTCAAGTTCCCCTCACAGCAATTAAAATCATGCAATTATTCTACTTAATAACCGTCTTGTTTCTCCACTCTGTCCAGGCTAGAACCAAAACTTACTGTCTAGTCCGCATTGAATACTTTTCACACACGCCGCCAGGAGAGGGCCCAGTGTAGTCTGACAGTGAGACTTCGTGAGATTTCTCATCAGTTACTGCTGGGGGGTGGGACAGTTCAGCTTTTTTGAATGGTAATGCTTTGGACAAGGTCTTTGCGATCGATTGTTAAAGGTTAACATTCCCCTTTTGTACTATCTCCTGAGTTTGTTTTACTGTTTGTGGTGTTTATGGCCCTCACCTTGAAAAAGTCTTTTCCATTATAAGACAGCTCTGCATAATGGAAGGTCATTTACCTAAATCGCCTCCCTGACTCTTATGTCTATAAGCATTCATTCATCCTTTTCCCGTGAAGCTACATCAAATGTTTACTTTAGCATTTTATTCTGCATGGTAATTATTTGTGATTGTATAAATGAAAAAATACACATATATATGTTTTTGCCTGAAATAAAGCGATGAGAACATAGTTAGGTTTTAGGAGAGGAAGAGGAGGGAGGGGACTGTTGGTGACTTTTCTCTCAACAGACAACCAGAGAAGAAAGAATATTTGGTGATGGGCTAGATTGAATATACTTGCAGGAAATCCATTTTCTCACCAAAGTTTATCTGATGGAGGTAGAGGAAGAGGTGCTGCATGGGAAGTAAGATATGTTAATGAAGAAAAGAATTAGGTGGGGTTTTTTAGAGATTTTATATTCATTTCTTTTGAGAGAGAGGGGAAAGGAGGGAGAAAGTGGGGGAGGGAAACATCAGTGTGTGGTTGCCTTTCATGTGGCCCCCCACTGGGGACCTGTCCCACAGCCCAGGCACGTGCCCTGACTAGGAATTGAACCAATGACTTTTTGATTTGCAGCCCACACTCAATCCACAGAGCCACACCAGCCAGGGCAGAAAAGAATGAGTTTTAAGGATCATCAACATAAGTATTGTATTTTCAAGGAAAATGTAATGAGTGAGGTAAAGCATTTGTGTACTCGGATACAGAACATTTCTAGAAACCCTAGCTAAGATTAGGCCACAAAAGGGAGTGCTCTTTGCCCTGTATTTCAGTCTCTTGGACGAGGGGCTCACTGGTGGAAGACGGTGAGACAACCTGTAACCTAGGAAGTGCAAGCTCGTGCTGAGCAGTGTCCCGTGGGCGGAGCACCAGCATGCTGAGTGGTACAAAGGAAGACTGGCTCCCAGTAGGACAGGAAGCCACGACTGTACTTCGCTCCTTTCTCATCTGCTTAATGAATGATGCCTCCCCTCTCGTTGTTGTTTGATGATGACTACTGAACATTTTCCGATTTTCTTCTTTTTAGTTAGAATGAGTACCAAAAAAAAGGTACATGCGTTTGTCCGCGTCAAACCCACTGATGACTTTGCTCATGAAATGATCAGATATGGAGATGACAACAAAGTAAGTGCTGTGTGTTTGCCTTTACCCACCCGGGCCTCTCTCTTTCCCGTCTTGCTAGAGTGTCACTGTCTCCAAAAAACCTTTTTTTTAAAAAAAGATTTTATTTATTTGCCCTGGCTGGTATGGCTCAGTGGATTGAGCACCAGCCTGCAAACCAAAGGCTCGCTGGTTCGATTCCTGGTCTAGGGCACATGCCTGGAGTGGGGCGTGTGAGAGGGAACCACACACTGACATTTCTCTCCCTTTCTTTCTCCTTTCCTTCCCCTCTCTAATAAATAAATAAATAAATTAATTAATTAATTAATTAATTCAGAGAGAGGGAAAGGGAGGGGAAAAAGAGAGTGAAACATCCATCAGTTGCCTCCCAGATGCCCCCAGCCAGAGATAGCCTGCAACCCAGGCATGTGCCCTGACTGGGACTTGAATCCACGACCTGTCAGTTCACAGACCAGTGCTCAATCCACTGAGCCACACCAGCTAGGGCCCAGACAATCTTTTAAGGACCAAGACAGCGTTGGTAAAAGTCCAGGTGGACTCTAGAGTCCATCAAGTCCAAAACATTCCCCTGCAGTGCTGTTGATGAGGAAACTCATGAAATCCCTGTTTTTAATTGTCTTTTGATGAGTAAGTTCATTCTTGTG